GAGGGGCTTTGGAGCGGGATAGAGCTGAGGCTTCGTTTCGTTTTCGTAGGTATTGGGTGATCTGGGCGTGTTCGGGGTTGTCGGTCGTTTGGCCTCTCGTTAATAATGTGAGGAACTGAACAATGCGTTAGTAACTCGTAGAGCAAGAACTTAGACAATGACGTACTTTATATCCCGCAGCCATGGAGTTATACACGAGCCTCAAGCTGGCAAGTGGCTTATTCTTCACGAACCGCTTCCTCACAATGTGGGCTATTGGATGTGTCGGGCCGGGATGTTGGAGGTCTTTGGGTAACGGGACTTTCTTCCCCGTCTTAATTAAGGCACGGTATAATGCCAATGCGGCGATCCTGTGCCGCGAGTTGCGCGCTGGGACGAACGGTTGGCGAAACATGACTGCGATGGTATTGGAGGGGCTAGAGGTGGTTGTGATGCTCTTTGAGCATGATTGCCCTCATGGGCCGTGGGGTTGGTTTCGCGCCCGTAATACAGCTGAGTCTGGCTAATTACAGGTTATCTCAACTCAGCTGCTGTGAGCGCGAGTTTGCGAAGGATTCAATTGGACTTTCTCGTCGTTGGTATCATGAGCATGAGGCCGATATGCGGCTTGAGATTTTGCGATGCTTCTGTGATGACTAAGCCTGCATGCAACCCCGGATTCTACCCAACTACCACCCGCCAACCCAACCAACCTGGCTTTCAACATCTCTTCCAGTTTGTGTGCATGAAGAGATCAACTGGGTATGGCTTAGAAGAAGTCACAAACGTGCTTACAAGAAACTTAGTAACTCTTGGCTAGTTATGTAGGACTTTCTGTAGTAAACATGAATATGCCTTTACAACGATAAGGCTTGGTATGTCGAGTGAATTGGCAATTGATACTCCAATGGTGCAGGTGATAACTTGTGATCGACGAGTCCACGTGCCCTCGACTCTGCTTACCCGGGCAGTCAAGGGGTGACACCAATTACATATCAATGAGAGAAAACAGTTAGAAGCACGCTAATGGGTAGGGCTGCATTGGGAGCTGATGAGGGCTCAGCTGGATGCTACCCTACAAAGACAAGATTTTCTCACCAGGTGACTCTTTGCAGGCAGCGTGAAGATCAATTCTTGGTTTATCCCTGATATTTTAGACGTTCCGGAGTTCCCGGAGAGCAAAGATCAAACTCAGGCGGAGAATGGTGACTCTTTCACGAGAAACTAACTCTCTTTGCGTGCCCACTTGGTCTTGTAACAAGACCGAGACCTCCGCACGACTCGACAAAGATCGGAAAAGCGAGAATGCCGAGGACAGATCTTGGGTCCGGCATTTGTTCCAGATACAGGCCTTGATTCAGCCGCGCGCTTGCATCCGAATGACTGGAAGGTTAGTCATTGGCGGGGTGGTTGGCTGATCAAGTCTGACCTCGGTCGTCGGGCTCGGGGTGATGATGATTCCGCGACCGAGTAGTTGAAGAGCGGCATGAATCAGGAACCAGAAATGTTTGATCTGCAACCAGGGCCGGCGGCAAGTTGGATGCTTGCTGTTAGACAATGGTTTTCGCTATTCTTGGACTTGCAAACGCCGAAGCCGCGGACATACACTGGTAATGCCGAACCGGTTCTTGATCATTTACGTTCGCGATGCAGTCCAGATGCGTCTCTTCCTCCTGTCGACTTAGACCTCATTCGCGGCTCTCTCCAGCACATACGACCATACCCACTGGAGAACTCGGGATCCCGTCCGCTCTCCCATAGATAAGCCAATGAGGGGCGGATTAGTAGTTGGGTCGGTGACGACCAGCGAATCCCCGCTGTTGTATGTTTTTTGCTGTGCGAAGTTATTTTTGCTGGTTGATATAACTTCCGCGCTCTGTTTCTCCGAGTTGGGCCCGTGATCGTAGGTGATGGGACAGGGGTTTGGAAGCTCGTGTTGGTGTAATTGGTGATGACTTCAAGCCTTGCCCCAACAAAACAGCGACAACGCGAGAAACCAGGGTATAGAACGTTGGCCCTAGTCTTGTCAGTTAGCAATTGGGCAGTTTTCCATGTCAGACAGGCGGTCTGCAGCGTGTGAGTTGGCATGATACACATATGCACGATGTATGTATGCGCTTTCACACCCATGTCAATAGTGCCATGGCCCCTTGCTAACCCCATCCTCAAGCTTCACATCCATGATGCTTCGGGCTCGACCGCCATGTCCCGGAGAACTGGTCCGGTCGCCTGTTGTCCTGGTGCCGAAGAACTGATCTTCCCTGTATGTCCTGATGGGAGTTTCTTTTGAGTTAGGACTTGTCGATGGTTCGCATGGGCGTGGGTAATCTGGCAGTTGGGCTCTGTTTGAGAGCCGGGAGCGACAGAGCGGCTCGTTGCGCCTGGCGTATTCGGGAGGGAGGCTCTTCACCGTCAGTATCGTTCGAGAAAATGATCTCACGTCCAACAAGCACACAGAGCCTAGTCCCCCGCCAATCGCCCAGAAGGCTTCCAAACTTGGACGGCATGGACCATTAGGAAGCCAGCTCGAAACCCCGCGCACCAGTAGACTTGCAACACCGTCGAAAATCTTGCAGTTGACGGACCGGACAGTCATGCTTGCTAACGCTGCCTATCCGCTTACTCAAAACGCGAGCGGCAAACGGGCTTGAATGGAAGAGGCCGACCCAACTCTGACCGCAAAATGCATGCGATCCATCTGATGGAATGGACTGTGGAGCGCTGCCACTGATGAATGCGTCCTGCTGGCGCTAACTTCCAATGATTCTAGCCTCCGTCCTTCCCGGGTCTGCGGGAGGCTGATGTTTGCTAGATTCTCTCAAGCAGGACACGCGATGATCCCAAGGGGCACTCGACGACTTGCAAGTGCTCACGAGTCTTGAATCATGTTGTTCTCCGTTCTCATTAAACTGGTTCGCCACCAGCTCGTACTCGGGTTTGCACTCCAAGAAGCTCGGATCAGCCTTGTACGGGAGGTGCCGCAGCTTGCATTGATGGAACAGACGACACCTCATCGTCCCGGCGGCATGGCCAACGGCCGGACCTCCTGAACCTGACCTAACGCCCAGGGCAGCCAGCCTACAGCGGTCTCAGGTGAGCTCCCCGCCAGCTGCCAGCGTCAGAGTCAATGGCAGTGGGTTTTTCTTTTCCTTCGAGGTGACGGAAGTGGAAGTGGGTGGTCGGCCATGTCCACGGGTCCCACGACCCCACCTCACTAAGCTACCAGGTACGTACCCGACTGGAAGGGACGGGAGAAGGAAAAAGAAGAAAAAATCATCCCATGATTATCATGGACCGGGTTTGCTTTGACACTTGGTCCCAGTAGGATTAAAAGGACAAGACCCAAGGGCGACAGGGTGCTTCCCGCCTCCTCTCATCGTTTGCTGCCCTCAACGAGACGAGTTTAGATGAAGCTTCGTCTTCGTACTTAGCTCCCTTGACCAACAAAAGCCCCCCAGCCTTCCCGTCCGGACACCAGGAGACTGGGTTGCTGAATAGGAGGGCGTACCTGGTGACACGGACGTCGACTAGCACGCGACAACGACGTAATTAAGGAACAGGCTCAAACTTTTTTCTTCCTTATGAGCAAAGAAGCAAACAAAACAAACATCAATAGAACCAGGATCCAAGAGCGGTAACCACCTGGGGAACCAACCAAATAATCGAAAGACATCCCGGAAGTCGTCAAGAGAAACAGACCACAAGGCAAATCAGGAACAGCCGCGAGCTTGGGTACAGCTGGAGCTGAAGGTCGCCATCTAATATCCAATCCCTAGCCGCAGCGCAGATCGCAACAATTTCAAAGGGCGGCCTCATTCCCTTCCAGCTTACGGATACCACCCTTTCCGAGCCTCTTACTACACCATTTCGTCGGCCTCCTTCTCCTCATCTCATCTCTCTTACTCTTGATTTCTTTCTCTCATCTCCCCCAACCTCTCGATACCAGCCCAGAAAAACGAAAATCATCACGCTCTCTCCCGCTCAGATCCGTCTTTCGGCGGCTGCACACGTACCAATCCGTAAGTCGCCCGCGTCTTTGCCCCCTGTCATCGCGTGTCTGTGGCCTACCTCTCCCCGGCGCCGCTCTCTCGACACCCCCTGGCCCAGCTCTTGATTAGCGGATGGAGTCGTGCAGCAATCGTTGAGCTGTGCCTGACGGTTGACCGCTCTATCCCCGGCCACAAAGCGAAACTATCAGACCCATCAGCGCCGTCAGAGCGGCCATATCGGTCGTGGCGAGCCATCGCCTACCCCAGCTTGCTCGCCCTGCCGCCCCTGGATCTGCCCATGGTCGCGTCTACCACGGTACATCCACGCATCTTCCACCGCTTCCACCCCTGGCGGCCTTGACCGTATTCTTTTTACCCTTACCCATGCGACCATGCCTCCTTGCGGCCTTGACCAGCCCTGCGCCGCCTGGAGAGATTCATAATCATTCATCTTGCACTGAGGCCGCTTCCATCGAAGGCTGACTTCCAACCACCAGGCCCCACGCGATCAGATCAGCTCCCATCATATTCATCACTCGCCGAGCCGCTTCTCACGTAACCTCTTCGTCCTTGTCGCAGTGGTCTCGTCTCATCTCACCGAATTACTCATTGTGTTACTCCTCCCTCGATATTGTTCGAGATCTCTCCCTATCGCCTTTACATCATCCCTTCGCCGACCGGCCCGTGTCTTGTCCAAGTGCTGGCGTCCACGGGGGTCCGACTTCTCCCATCCTGTCTCCATCTCACATATCCTGGTCATATCAGCCCATTTTCTGCCCCGGCTTGATATCCCACCAGATTGGTTCCTGTGTTGCTTGATTCGGCTCCGTCTGTGCTCGGCTCTCCAAATTCGCCAAACAAATATAGTCCCGGAGCCTGCCTCACTTCGCCTGGTCTTCCAACGCCCTCACTCACGCTCAGCTATCGTTTGTTCAAGTCGACTCAAGAAGGGGCTTCGCCTCCCGAAGCTATCCCAGTATATAACCTGGACCGAGCCATTGCACGAGCTCGAGCAGAACTGGCTAGGCCACCATGTTTCTGCATTCCGGCGCCAGCCTACACGGCCACGAGTACTCGGCACACCGATCATCCACACAAGCTCCTCCCGGACGATTGCCCTTCCTCCGATCCGCGCTTCGAAGGCCTTCGGACGCCGACGTCACAGGACCACCGGCACCAGCAGCCTCGCCTGCGCCCCCAGCCCGGCCTGTGTCATATCATGAGAAGGCCCCCTCGATCACATCAGTAACTCCAGTTCGTCGAACCTCCCGGTCCCGACCCAAATCCGAATACATGCCCCGAAGAGAGCTCTCCGTTCGCTTTCGCGAGCCTGAGACCGATGACGATCTACCTCCTTCGGAAGTACAAAGCGAAGATGAAGCCTGCTCAGACGTGGGCGAGCTAAGCGACTCCTCCACTGCAAGCCGGAGAAGGAGAAGAAAGCGTTCTCTCAGGAGATCAACACAGTTTCTTCTCGCCCATCCAGTTCCTCGACCAGGAGCCAAGCAACGCCGACTTGTTCAGGTTCGCCCACGATTGCTTCTCCAGCTGCAGGAGCTGAGCGAGAAGCGCGCTCTTCCTGCTTTTGATGTCCTGCCTTCAAGCCTGATTACAGGACCCCTTATTGTTCCTCGATTAGCAAAGCGATGTCCCTGTTTGTTCCGTGCCAAGCCCGTGCTTGGTCTTAATGACCTCCTTATCGTACGTAGCGAGGATTACGACACACCCACAACTCCAGGTTCTCTTGATTCCGAGGATTCGCTTGACCAGAGGGACGTTGTGGCAGTTATCAGTCCCCTGCCACACATGGGTGACGACTCGGCCGAAATAACCATGGAAGACGGGTCGACTTGGGAGTCAAGTCGCATGGCTAATGGCTCCTATGAGTTTATTGGGGTGGATGAGCGAGGCCGGATCAGCACAGCGCGATGGGTTAAGAAGTCGTCGACGCCAGTAACTACACCACTGGCAAACGGCGATCAAACGCCTCCACCGAGCCCAGTCCCATCAGATGTTAAATGGACTTTCAGTATGATACACCCTGATACACGAAGACATCCAATCATGGGTTCTCTCATGTCGAACACGCTGGACGTTTTCGATACTTACAACACCATGTCGACTTCAAGTGGTCGATATCCTCCTACGCGATGTACTCCCTTGGACCCCAAGTTGGCCAGCGACTGGATCGTATCTAACCCACCCGAGATCCAATCACGTCTGACCAAGGTGGTTCCAGAGGACATCAAACTATTAATGGTTGCCACGGCTTCATGGGTCAACCTGCGACACACCGGGTGGCCAGCTTCGGCAATCTGCAGAACGCCGTCAACCTTGCAAAAGCGCACACCGAGTAACGCAGGCCCGCCGAGGGCCCAAACATTTCCTGCTCGACCCAGCCTCACTGCTGTCAACCCTATACACCAGGTGCAGCACGCAAACACAAGCCCTCCCGGAAGCTCCATGGACAGCTCATCCTCGGAAATTCCCGGGCGCCGAAGGTCCATGTCCTCCAACGCTGGTTTCGTGAAGAGATTTGTGGTACCGCGAGCCAGTGAGGACGGACGACCACCACTCGATAGCCTCGACTTTGATATTGATAAGGCGCCTTCACGGCGCATGAGTGTCACTATGCGTTCATTTGCGAACAAGATCTTCCGCCGGAGGAGTAACTCCCAGGCACGGGTTGAGGATTCTCTTAAATATAAATTAGAATACTAGGGTACCGGTCAAGGTCATGTAACATTAATATAACGAAGCCCCCATTTGGGTAAATTTCAATCAGCCAGCTGCAAGTCTCTGTCTCCTCTGTTTCAAGTCACTGCCCTATGCCTTATATGCCCTGCCGGCATCTCCACACAACGGGCAATTCGATCCGAGACGGACGGCCGAGTGGGGCAACAAGTCTCTCCGGAGTCACTCGGACCTCCCCCGCCGTTTGCCCAGTGAGGGGCCGTGGCCCAGACGCCGGCCGAGTGAAGATGTGGAATGCACGATACCTAGGTGGAAGCCAGCCACAAACCTCCTCTCCTCGAGGATGCGTCTGTGGTGCCGCAAAGTTGCCGCCAATCCGCCTGCATGTCGTACGGGCGTTTCGTTGTCTTCCTGTACCAAGGTGCCTGACCACCTCACGCGCCTCGCCGCAGGCAGTGACGGAGACGCGCAGTCTGTCGGAGCGGCACAATGACTATCGGCATCGCACTCTGGGGATGCATGTGCAAGGCAGGAGGGGCTTGCGTATGTTGTAGAGATACTTCACAGCTCCGTTAACGCCGTGGACTTGTTACTGTCTCCAGTTAAGTTCCCGTAAGCTCTCCGTTTGTAAGCCTTGCTTCTTTGCAATGCCAAGGCACGACGTGATAAATGAGGCGGTTGAAAAGCCACCCAGGAACTGCAGGTGGTCATTCTTGAGACATGAGATGTAAGCCGGCTATTTGGGAAGCCAACATGACGTCTCATTGGACTACTGTGGAGTTCATGTCGATGACAACACGGCCCCAATGCCTTGGGTATCCCGACTTTACACCTGTTCGTGGTTGTAGTGATTGGATGCGATCCGTGGCAGTGGAAGGATCGAGAAAGGGCGGGAAACCGAGTATGCAGCCTTCGTCAACCGCATTGCGAGATGTGATTGCTGTACGTTGTTGGATCACAGGCATGCACATCTTGGTGATAGCCTGCTGGCGTTGCTGAGGATCTCGCCTGCCGTGATTGAGCGACCGGGAACGGGGCTTTGTGATCAGAGGCACAGGCCAGTCAAACACGCCACAGATCCAAGTATACGGTACGGGAGGTGCAGCGTTCTGGCCGTGACGGACGAGGTATCCAAGACACCAGCTTCACTGCTGGTCCCAGCCATGAACAAAGCCCCCTGGAGCTCAGGGCGTTAGGTGGGGTCATCCGCCGCTAACTCACTAAAACTCCGGAACCAGAAGGCCTGGAGTGAGCAAGGGCCCACTGGTCGAGGGCAGAGCTGCCCCAGAAAAAAATGGACCCTTCGCTGGAGTGTGCCCGCCCAGGCTGCTGCTGCTGGCATCATCCATCATCACTGCAGGCCGACCAGGGCCACCTACGACGCTCCTCGTTCCTCCAACTCCTCCCCTCCCATTCTTCAACTCTTCACTTTCCGTTCCGCATTTCCATCAAGCATCGTTGCCGTCCCCAGCGCCGCTGTATGCTACCTACTTCGTCTTCTATTCTAGCCGAGCAAGTATCGATGCGCATTCGACATTTATTTCGCCCGCCGACAGAATAAACTTACCGCCCAAGCTGAGCCTAGCTGAGCTGAGCTGTGCTGCGCTCTGAGCTGTGTTGCCGCACTCGGCCATTCCCGCTGGCCCTGCTGCAAAGCTTCGGCAACCCACTCGTGACGAGCCAGACACGGGCCCGCGACGGTATTGAAGCCGACTGCATCGCCGACCGCCGACTACGACCTTCGATCCGTCCGACACTGCGCCAACATGGACGAGAACATCGGGCCCCGGCCTTCGGGAGCCCATGGTTCCATGCCGCCCACCACGGGAGCCAATCTGCTGGCAAACTTCATGCCCTATGAGCCCATCTCACGAGCCACATCTCCCGGCATCCCTTACCCAAAGACCGACGAAGATGATAGGAAACGCTATCGACCTCGAACATTTGCATACTTTCAGCAGCTGCCATTCGAGGTTGAGGAGGAAGCTCAGCGCGATGCCGCCTTGCAGGGAATTCTTAAGCAGCTCTACATCGCCGTTCGCGCAGAGGACTTCTCTCCTGGCGCCCTCCACTGGACCAAAGAGCTTCAGGGTTGGCTCAATCTCAAGTTTGAGATGACGAGGGAGCAAAGGGCGAAGCTGGCGAAGCTCTACTACTCGCTTGCTCTCGCCCCAGGCTTGGACGCGACAGCTTCGGACCGCTTCCTACGTATGGTCTTGACCCTAACTAGGTACGTACGATGGTGGTGGTAATGCATGTGATGGATACTGATTCATGGATAGGAAGAACCACTACTTGAAGCCTGGCGAAGATCTGGTCCTCGACTGGAGGCCCCTCTGGAATGAGATCAAGGCTTGGGTCTTGCCCTCTGAGGTCCCCGCACACCAGAGCAACCGCAAGCGATCAGCCAAGCAGCTGCTCAAACTGTGCACTCATGCGCACACATACTTTGACCCCGCCGACCGCCGGGCTATGCTGGAGGAGTTTCTGCCGTACTTCAGTGTGAACGAGCTCCCGAACGCATTCATTGTCGTGGGCGTCCTCAATGCGCTCCTCCCTAGCCATCCTGCTCCTGTCAGCGAGCATCAGTCACAACCAAGCGACTTCTTCCCTACGCTCTTCCACCTGTGGTCCATCATCAACCGTTCTAAGGCATTTGATGTCTTCTTCATCGACCTCTTTTCCCGTCTCGCCCGGGATCACATGCACTGCTCTCATGTGCCTTTCGGTAGCCATGGTATTTTCACAAAGGATCAGTCCGACCTCATCTTCACAGCCATTCTCCGGCTCACACAAATACCTGTGGGTCAGGCTAACTCGCCGTACACCCCCTTGGACTATCTTTCTGGTGCAGGCGTGTATGTGGAGAAGGACAAGAAGAAGTATCCTGTGGCCTACATGATTTCTCGCTTGATCGTGAGCTCCTTGTCCCCCGCTAGCCTGCAGGGCGACGATTCGATCATGACTAGCTTGGAAGGCTTCATGGAGTCCATTGACACCTTTTTCCATCCTTCGAACCAAGGCTCTTGGACCACAATGTTGGGCCAGCTCACATTATACCTGACTGAAGCCTTCGTCTCGCGATGGAATCGCGAGCAGAGTGGCGAATTGGATCTCCCTGAAGATCGCAAGATCAATGCCGACCTGAAGAAACGCTTCGTCTCGTCTCTGAAGGAGGTGACCTTCATGGGTCTCTTTTCCAAGAGTAGCCGTGTGTCATACTACTACTACAGCGCTCTGCAGGGGCTTGCCTACCTCGAGCCTGATTTGGTGTTGCCGGGCGCCCTGCAGAGGTTCTATCCCAGTCTTCAGGGTCTAGTTGAGGTCCACAGAACTACATCTAGCTTGAACGGCTTGCAGATGATTGCGAACATCATGTCCAAGCTCAAGGGATATCGTTGTCACATTACCGCGCTCTTGGCTCTTGCCTTGCCAGGAATCGACGCCAACGACCTAAATAAAACACAATACACACTCAATTTCATCCAGAGCGTTGCTTTCAGCATTCCCATGGTGCCCTTGGTCAAAGAGGGCAGCCACATCCACGACACCACCTTGGCCATGCAGTGGGTTCAAGGTGAGATGGAGCGTATGGAGCGCGAAGGACAGAATGTCAAAATTGACTACAAGAACGAACTCACCGACGAAGATGAGGCGGCTATTCTCAGATCCTCGACTACCGGATTCGGCGAATTCATTTTGACGCTGCTGGGCAAGGTCTTTACCTTGCTGGAGAACCTCCCCGACGCCAATCTGGTTCGTGGTGGAGGCACCCCTGAGGACAACGTCATCAACGCCTTGCCGGCTGCTTTGTCGCCATTGTTTGCATCGTTGTCTCCTGAGCTTTTCGACATGGCTCTTGAAAAGGTTGCAACATTTGTGTCAAGCCATGTTGTCCACCAGGCCAGAGATGCGATGGCTTGGATTCTCAACGCGCTGTGTAAGGTTAACCCTGAGAAGACGCTCAAGGTTTTCATCCCTATGCTGGTGGTCAACATCCGCAATGAGATCGACTTCAACAATGCTGCATCTGACCGAAGCAGCGGCACAGAGTATCTGCCCAGGGACAGGGCCCTTGTGTGGTATGTTAGCATGTTGGCAATGGCTGTCGTCCATGTCGGTAGTGAAGTCCTGAAGTACAAGGATGATCTCCTCGGAATTGCAGACTACATGCAGGAGAAATGCCGTGGTCTGCCCACTATCCTGGTCTCGAACTACATTCATCATCTTCTCCTGAACTTGACGCACACATATCCCATTGATCACGCTCTGTATGAGCCCGAAGTCATCAAGCGTGGCATCGATGTTGATGACTGGGGCAAAACAACCGCCCCTAACGACCTGACTATCCGATGGCACCAGCCTTCACCCGCTGAGATCGACTTTGCTGTCGAGCTGTTTGCGTCGCAGACCAAGACCGCCAAGGACCAGCTAGAACTACTGATGAGTGATAACCCACCCGTGAGCAGGAAAGGAAAAAACAAAGAATGGTCTGATGAGGTTTCTCGACTCATGCAGCAGATCAGACTGGTCACATCCGGCATGGCTACCATGTTCGACCCCGAGCGTGCTGCAGGCATCATGACCGGCAACACTGAGGAAGACCATGATGTTGCTCGCGAGGATGACGACGAGATGATGATCGACGAAGACCCCCTTGCCGAGGTGGCTGAGGACGAAGAACTTCGACCCCAGTTCCGTTACAAGGCAGGCTATGTCCTCAAGTCGAGTGACCCGGCCTACCGCAAGATCCACGACCTGCGTGAGGAGCTAGGCCACCTTCTCACAAAGACACACTCATTCCTGAACGAGAACCAAGAGGACGATGTCAACTCATTCACTGCTCTTTACGCTGCTTATCGAACCTGGATCACGGATGTCGGTATTGAGCGTTCTGCCCACCCCCTGGAGAGGCACGTACGACTCTACAAGTCGGACATTGCTGCTTTCAAGATCAAGGGACTCAGAAAGGTCTACCCGCGACCTCTACTTATCAAGCGCGCAGAGGCATACCAGCTGTTGCGCCGAAAGCACAATGCTTCGTCAAGACAGAAGAGTGAATTGGATAAGCGTCTGTTGCTCGACCTTGCTGAGTCGAGTCTGTCGCTCTATGCAGATGTACGACGAGTTGCGCAGAGCGCGCAGGATTCGTCATTGAAGTCTCTCATCGGCAGCAAGCCTTTGGTCATCCCTGTCATTCTTGAGGGATTGCGGAAAGCAATTGAGACCAACGACCATGATCGTATCAAGGGCGGAATGTACACCCTCCTATTCACGTCCCTGCTCAGGACCCTTCTCAAAGACTGGCGATTTGCTCCCGAAGCTATGCGTCTGTACATTGAGACTGCAGGCATCGACAAGCCCTCCATTCAGAATCTTGGGTCATCCGCATTGTACACCCTCATCGACTTTGGCAAGCCTTTTGAGCGTATGATCATTGTAGATGACGTGCTGCTCAACACTATCAAACCTGCAGGAGACGTCTCGACGGCCATCGAGACACGCCACCAGTTCATTTTGCAGCGCCGAAAGAGGGTGGAGGACTCCAAGGCGAGCCTAGGACTGGAGTTGACGGAACGCGCCAAGGGGGCTCACTGGAAGATCGCTACACGGTGCGCCATCTTTGCCACAAATCTGTGCCTCCGATTCCACACCCTGGCACCGGCCCAGTTTGTTGACCTTGTGGCCAACGGAACGAATGACCCTCACCCCGGTCTGCGAGGTTACTACTTGAACGCTTTCACTTCGGTCTTTACAGCTGTCGATATGCGCGCGGTCTATGGACACGAGTATCGCAACTACCTCCTGGAAAAGGAGGTCGGTGATCGGAACCGGGTTCAAGTCCAGGTCGAGAAGGGTGACGAGGAATTCACACACAATTTCCTCGAGTCTTTCAAGCAGCCTCAAGACGCGGCGTACATGGTGGATGCTGACCATCCTGGCTGGCTCGTCTGGGGGAAGAAGTTTACCGCCTTCCGAGCGAAGCCTCTCCCATTCGATAGCTACGACGAAGTAGAGGGTGCCCTGCGGGACCAGATGGGCCAGATCTTGAACCGGGGGTGGTTATCTCAGTGCTTCGACTACCTGAAACAGGAACCTCGCGATGCTACGACTGATAGATTCCGCATGAGCAACGTGTACCTCCTTATGCATGTCTTTGACCTGATGCACTACGGCAAGACGGAGGTCACGCTGGAGGACGTCAAAGAGCTGGTCAAGGATGTCTTTGGTGATGGCAACGACAAGCATCAACATCGCGCAACATCGGAGATTTTGGGTGCATTGCTTGCGGGTTCCAGCGATGATCCACCGGAGATTCGCAACCGCGTGTGGGAGTACGCCGCCCCAATGATGCTCAAGATTTTTGCGGACGACCTAACACCGGATAACCTGCAATACTGGCTTACCTGCCTTCACCTAATCTTGGACTCTAAGGATCCTCGACGATCACATGAAATTGTAGATGCATTGCGATCATTCCGGCTCGATATGACGTCCAATGCCGCTTTCAAGGAGTCCTCCAAGGTTCAACTGCTCGAGTTCATTGTCGCAGATGGCGGCTGGCACTTCCGACACGAACAGCCAATCCTTGATGATTTCCTTGCACACATCGACCACCCATACAAGGCAGTCCGCGAGGCAATCGGGCGAGTACTGTCAGTTATTTACAAGACTCGATACCATGAGTCGTTTGAGAACGTTAGCAAACTCCTGGATCAGAACAAGGCTGCCTCATCGATTGGTATCCGGCCTTACCAACCCACCGAGGAGTTCACAGCCACGATCAAGGATGTGTTTTCGCGCTTGGAGAAATGGCGGCATGAGAGAACGCCTGGCCAGCAAACGCCATGCTCGTACACTTCGGGTTCCAAGACGGTGCTGATGTGGCTCGACTGCACCCTATCGTCGCACGAGTGCATCCAGATGGTGCCGTTCTTCCCTAGTCCCTTCATGGAAGAGCTGCTGCACATGATGGACGTGAAGGAAGACCCAGAACTTATGAGACTGGCGTATCATGTCTACCGTCACTTGCCAAACATCTCCTTCCGAGATGGAGAGGATACTGAGTTCATTGATGCCCTGATCCGAATCGGCAAGACGTCGACGAGTTGGCACCAACGGCTGCGTGCCCTGGTCAACATGCAGGTCATCTACTTCAGACGTATCTTCCTGACGAGAAGCGCCCAAAGAGAGGCGCTGTTCACCGCTGTCTCCGACATGCTGGGTGACCCGCAGCTTGAAGTGCGGTCATGCGCATCCACTACACTTGCAGGCATGATCCGCTGCTCACCTCGCCGCATTCGCGATCCCATGATCGCACACCTCAAGGCTCGTTTTGAGGATGAGCTGCAACGCAACCCAATGCCCAAGCGAGGCCGTCATCTCCCCGGCACTGACACTCCGGTTGATGTGCACAAGCAAATCACAAGGAGGCACGCTGCAGTCCTTGGACTGGGTGCCTTGATTGAGGCATTCCCCTACGCTACCCCGCCCCCTGAGTGGATGCCAGAGGTGCTTGCGCTGCTCGCTAGAAGAGCCGCGGCTGATCCCGGCGTGGTGGGCAAAGCGACAAAGACCATCCTCAGTGAGTTCAAGAAGACCAGACAGGACAGCTGGACGGTGGATCAGAAGGTATGTTGAATGCTTGCTGCTCTGCGGAGTGGCTCTTGCTGCATATAAGATTTGCTAACCGATACGTGCAGTACTTTACCTCTGAGCAACTGGAGGACCTGGAGGGAGTGTTGTGGAAGAGTTACTTTGCCTAATGCGCATAAGCCCTAGGGAGGATTCGAGTTCAACCTCGTAGCATAGTTGGCGCATGTCGGTTGGACGCGGACTTGTGCCCCAGGCCGGCCGATGCGGGTCAGTGGGAGATGTGTGGTGCTACATCCTGGCGGAGACCGGATACTCCTTTTGGCACCGCCTCTGTAATCTTATTGCGGATGGCCCTTTTGATAGACCTTGTATACCAAGAAGTAAGCGCCATGATACAAGAGTCCCCAGCGCCCAACCCCGCCCCGATGTTGGACGGATTCTGAAGTGTACTTGACGACGGACCCAGTGCAACGGTTCGGGATCTACCTGGTTCGGGTGGAGGGGATGAGTTGTCAGACTTGACGCTATTTCTCACGCTATATGCTAACACCGGAGTCCCTGACTTGCCTGGCGGTGAGGCAGTTTTGTGGCAATTCATCTGATGTCGAAGAGGATTTGTCGATGGCAGTGTAGGGGGTTAAACCGGGTCTCGTGGCAAACTTTGACTGGTGAGGTCGATCACCATAAGCATGTGAGTTTTGCTGGATAGGTAGCGTGATTCGAAACCGTATCAATGGAGTTTCGTGTTGTAGAGATGAGATGGATGCGATGCGGTGTAGAAACGAGGAAGTCACGCCTAGACCATTCTGCCTCGTGAAAGAATCACAGTCGATGTAGTGGAATGTCGTTTCCAGGGTAGGTTGTCTCGACTATAATCGGTCGTCTAGACGCTCGGTGATTTCCTAAAACGTAGTCAAGAAGCCTTGGAGCATCTCAAAGTGTATCAATGGGGTCTGTGGACTAGTGCCACAGGGAATGAACCCGGGGAATAAAGAAAAAGGAGGGGAGAAGTGGAGGATTTTGCGGCACAGCAGTTGACGGCAGTGTTCAATGAAACAAGGCCTTTAAGAGGGGACCAACGATAGTGTCAGTAAGTAAAGATCTAGGGCCCAAGAGAGTGGGTAGAGTGGATAATGCAAGCAAGGGACGGGACCCGACGAGAGGGGCACTATCTTTAATGAAGCCTGGATTGTCGAGGCTCGCCCTGGCGAGATTTCGGGAGCCTTGCGCGAGGCATTCGCACATGGGAGGGGAGGCCCAGCACAGAGGCCGGCACGTGTGTAGCCGCATAGTAAGCGGTGATTGGGTGAGATTTGCTAGGCGCCCTGATTTGTGACGTGAGAAGCCAAAAAGGGACTAGCGCAATGCTTGGCAGATTATCAGCGCAGTTGCGCAACCAAACGCATGGCCGGACCAGCCTGGTCGTAGTCAGCCTTCATCAGCCTTAGATGCAGCACAGCCCCATGCCCAACAAGGGAACATTCTGCAGTTTGTCTTTGCCAACAATCAATCAATCGCGAACTGGTATTTTCGGGGTTGAAGCGCTGTTTCATCTGTCGCAAAAAGAACAAGGAAAAGGAGCTTGTACGCTACTGTCCTCGCGCTTATTCCTGTGAACACCATCTCAAACCCTCCAAAGGCGTTAGGCTAGGCGCAAACAGCAACCACCACCCCATCACTTCGCAACCGTCCGTGACTATCCCCGCCCGTCAGTGCCTCAGCCGGCGCAAGGCCCTGTGAGTTCTTTGATTCACCTCCGACTCATACGCCGCTTAACCTCCGCTAGACAAAGGCACCCACGCACAGCCTTCTTCGCGTTTGTCTTGTGCTGCCTCTCGTCCGTTCATCACGCTTTGTTTCTCAAGGCCTAATCCGGGGGCTGCTTCATCGCAGCCGCACATAAATGGGCGCACTCTGCTCCAGGTCGGGACCGGAGGATGGAGAACAGGACGACTACGACAGTCATCAGAGAAAACACCACATCAACACAACTTCAATGACGCAATCAACACGACAGACATCGCCTCCAACCTGGCGCCATCCGCCAGGCGCGCTGACTCTGGCCGAGGCTCTCGCTGCGAAGAGCCATATTGAGGCTCTCAATGGTGAGATCGCGGGTAGGAGGCCGATTTTTGAGGCAGATGATGCGGGGACGACCGGTTCGACAACTGCCGAATCTGATGATCCCCGCACAAGAGATTATTTCAAGTTGCGACAAAGTATCGTGACATGCGAAAAGACACTAGACTTTGACCACCCGTGTCGGAGAGGGGCGACACCAGATGAGCGGCGCGCCGACGCTATCATCCAGGAGTTGAAGCGCAGGGACGAGGCAAATATCTACGAAAAGGCGCCTTCACGGGCGGGCTATAGGGGACAGCTACACCCTCGGTTCCCCGGAGATCACTTCTTATCAAACAAGAGCCTCATCGACCAGACGGACCTGTTCGCCGTCGCACGGCGCATGCCCAAGGGCAGCCATTTACACATCCACTTCAACGCCTGCTTGGCTCCTCATGTTCTGTTGAACATTGCAAAGGATATGGAGCGCATGTTTATCACAAGCGATTTGCCCCTGGTCTCCGACAATGACTGCTCAAACTTTGATCGCTGCGAGATCCAGTTCTCCCTCCTAAGCCCCGAGAAGGAGACTCCTGGGGACTTGTTTAGCACTACATACAAACCTAGGCAGACCATGAGGTTTAGCAGATTCCTCCAGATGTTTCCCCAAATATATACAAAAGGAGCGACTGCCGACGAGTGGTTACTGGAGAAGCTCATGTTCCATGAGGAAGAGGCGCATAACTCCCTACAGACGGCATGCGGGTAAGCTTTCCTTGTTTTATACACTCACTTGACGAATGATACTGACAGCTTATAGGGCCTGGGAAAAGTTCAATGGACGAACAAGGATGATGAAGGGTCTCTTCAACTACGAGACAGCATATCGACGATACACACGGCTCTGCCTCGAGGACTTTATGAAAGACAACATCACCTATGCTGAAATCCGACCGAATTTCATGACGAGCAATCAGCTTTGGACCGACGATGGTACCAAGCTTATTGACAATAAGGGTATTATGGAGCTCATCATCAGCGAGGTGAATAGCTTCCAGGCCGACATGAAGGCACAAGGCAGGTTCTTTGGCGGGCTCAAGGTTATTTACTGTACTCCTCGATCATTTCCACCGGAGAAGATCGAGGCTGCTCTTACTGAATGCCTCGAGTTCAAGAAGGTCTGGCCGGAGTGGATCGCAGGTAAGAAAACACAGGGACATGCCGTCCATTGCGTGAATCCAGAGTGCTCACTATGTAATAGGTTTCGATCTTGTCGGCGAAGAGGCCAAGGGACGGCCCATCAAGGACTTTATCCCCGAGCTCCTCAAGTTCCAGGAGAACTGCGAGACTGCTAAAGTAGAAATCCCTTTCCTGTTTCATTGCGGTGAGACCTTGGATATGGGGTCTGATACAGACGGCAACTTGATCGATGCCCTGCTTCTCAAGTCTAAGCGTATCGGGCATGGCTTCGCGCTCGCAAAGCACCCATACGTGATGCAACTCATGAAGGAGCGCGGCATCTGTCTCGAACTGTGCCCCATCTCCAACGAGATCTTGGGCCTTACACCCCGTGTCAGCGGGCATACTATGTATCAGCTCTTGGCCAACAATGTCAACTGCACAGTCAGCTCTGACAATGGAACGCTGTTCCGGTAAGCTACCTATGGAAGTCTCACAATAACACCCAACTGACAATTGCATCTAGATCCTCCCTATCGCACGACTTCTATCAGGTCATGGTCGGCAAGGCGGACATGGGGCTCTTCGGATGGAAGCAGCTTGTGCTGTGGAGTCTTAAGCACGCCTGTCTCGATCAGTCAGAATACGCCCGTGTATACGCTCACTGGGAGACAGAGTGGAAGGAGTTTGTGAAATGGGTGATCCAAACATATGGTGAGGACACCAAGGCTGAGTAAAAGGGTCCTGAGCGATTCAGCCCAGGATGATGAACGAAGAGCGCCGTGCGGCAATTGGCTAGTCCCTCGACCCCTTGCGCTTGCCACTGGCTTTCAACTGTGGAAGAATCAGGAGACAACAGGCAACTATTGAGGGATATGTCGATATGGACCCGCTTTATCTCCAACAGCACAAAGAGCGTTGAATGGAAGCGTACACACGACAGGAAAATGCAGCCGATAGACCCAAGACTTGATCGCTCAAGAGGTTAGTATCAAGTATGAGACGAGAAAGAGCGAGACGAGGAGAGATACAAGGCGCAGACGACACGTACGGAAACTGAATGATGCTTTGATGATTGGATACCCTAGAAGTTCCTAGTTTCTCTACTATCTATTTGATGCCCGCGCGCAATAGATATCGAGGCTTGGTTGATGCGCCGAACACAGAGGGAGGCTGGACACGGGGGCGAGCGACAAGGTTTGTTTGTTTGTATATATTCTTTTCTGCTTTTGCGTCCCATTGTTATTGTTTCACCAATGTCCTCGTACCACTTATACCGAGGCATACTTCAATTTTCAACCGTTTTCTAGAGAATGTACCCTCACGTATGTGAATTAACTGATGTCATTCGTCCGTGGGAGAGGCTGAGCTGGGCGTTGATGACGGTTTTCGTGGAGGCGCGGCCGCTGTTGCCGTGGCGCAGCTCGCAGCTGTGGTCGAACAACGGCAAGATCCACCCGAGGACCCTTCTTTCCCAACTCTTGAGCTGAGATGAGAACCCCTTTCTTATTTCCAATATTAATCCTTCAACCTCGACCTTGGCTTATTCTTCTTCTTTCATGACTGATCTATAGCGCCGTGCCTTATTCGTGCCCTTTTATTCTTAGACTTTGGACTTTACTTTTGGCTAGTCCTGATCTGACCAGCCGTTGCACCTTACTACTGCTCCCATCTCGACCCCTTGCTTGGCGTTGCATCGACAGCAGCATCGACAGCAGCATCAACACCTTGGACATCTAGAACTGTCAAATGGCCGAGCCCGGTGACCCAGGATGGAAATGGTTCCCCAATCTCAAGAGCAGTTGGTCGCTGGACGTCGTGACGCTTCTCGCCGTAATTGGCGAGTCGTCCATGACCGAGCATTCTCAGACCATCACGGCATCTCTCCTATGCCTCCTCCCCCGACTCATTCCCGCACCCCAGGCCCTTCTCAAGCCTGCTCGCCCAGGTCGAATGCCTGAAACATTGGCAAAAATGACGGGTGTCTACAGCGGGACGACACTTGACTCTGTGGGGTTCTTTGCAACCATCATTACCCCTCTGGATGCGCTTCCTGCTTTCAGCTTCAGGGTACTTGAGATCAAGCACAGTGATCAAAGTCACTTTGGCGATGTTGAGATGCGCTTTCCCACCCGCAAGGACAGTTGGTATCGCCGAGGCCTTGAATTTATACAACAACGGCGTTCGAGTTCGTTCATAAAAGACAATGAGTCTAATGGCGGCCAAGAACTGCGGTCCAACCGCATTCCTCGATCTCCCGCACTAGAAGAGGGTGGGCTCCCTCTCCCGGCATCAGCAACCCCAACTCCAACACGAAAAACTACAATTCGACTTCCAGAGGACACTGCCCAAGACGAGAACTCTGCGCCCCCAAAGCCGCTTGCGCGCCGAGCCACGGCCAAGTCAGTGTTTCAGGATATGCTTGCAAACCCGACATTTGCCAACACCAAGAAACGTCCTGCTGTCCCTGCCGAGCTTTTCTCACCAATACACGTCCTTTCCGTCTTCTCCTGCTTTCTCAGCATAGCCATAGTGGGCTGCGCTATTCATTGGAAGGATGGCAACGCCATTTTGGCCGTGTCTCTCATTTCCTTTGCCTCAAGTGTGGTTGGATATGCTTCCTTCTGGCACCCCATCCTCATGAACCGTAAGCACACCAACGAAGTGCCTAGAGGCGATGTCATGATCCGGACACGCGAGGGTGCTTTCATCCTCATCAAGTGTACAGAAGAGGTTGCCCGTGAGCTCTACTCGGGCACTGAAGAGTGCCATTACCATGTTGGTGATCGCAGCTATCGACTCCTCATGGCACTTGGAACTACCCTGCTCATGTTGAGCGTCGTTCTTTTTGGAAACTGCACCTGGAACTCACAAATCTTCATTGGTGGATCTTATATCGTTCTCAATGGTCTCTACTGGGGCCTGGGCATGCTACCTCCCTCATACTTCTGGGACCTTTCGCGGTATACATGGAAAGATATTACTCGCGACGATGCTAAGGACGCCCATCTGATCACGGATTCCTCAGACCAGCGAGAAGGCTATCCAAGCTACACACGCACTCTGTGGTACGCTATTCGTGAGACCAGGCGCACAGGCTGGGTTTCTCGGAGCGGAGCTGCTCCGGGGACGGATCAGTGGAAGAAATGGCTGGCAGAAGCCATGGTAAATGCCGCGAGAGGAAAGAGAGATTGGGAGTCTGTTGCGAGAAAGGATGTTATCATGAAGGAAAACCTCGGTGACGAAGAATTTCTCGACGAAGCAGCTCAACATGCACCAGCGACAGAGGTTCAGACCGCCAAGAGACGACACCACCAGGACTGGGACAAGGATTCGACGTTTTAGACAAACTCGAGTCGCTTGTTCTGTGTCTGGACAATGGCACAGGAAAGCGCCCATGCTAATACGTTGATTGACGAATATACGATTATGGACAATGGATCTTGTGCGGGCATCTTTGTTTGGGAGCGATGGGATGATACCAGGAAATTTCCAGTTTGTATTTCTATAGACTGTGCAAAGCATGGCGTTCTTCTTCCAACGGATATAATACTAAAAGACGATGAAACCAAGGGATCTGATGCCCCCGGATACAATAGAAAAACCATACTGTTTGCAACTTTTAAAAATGACATGCTTCTATGCCTTTCTGGCGCGCGACCGTCTCGTGTCCTAAACGCCGGCTCTCCGTAAAAATGCGCCATGGCCCCCCCCTTTTTGATACTCTCCAAGGTCCAGTAACCAGGTATAGGGGCCGATTTAGTCATCAAAGTAGATGCCCTTCTTCTCCGAGATGTCAATCGCACCACCGCGGTAGCTGCCCCTCTTCTTCTTGTTCTTCTCCTTGGTGAAGCCCTTGCCCTTGGTCACGATCAGGTCCTCGTGCGCACGCTGCGAGTAGGTGATGGGGACGTATTCGTTGGACGCGAACTTGGGGTCGACCTTGATGTTCTTGGGAATGCGCGAGAAGGGCTCGTTCTGCTTCTTGCGCCCGTTGTTCAGGATGGGGTCAGGGGGCAGGGGAGGGTTCGTCGAGTCTGTCTCGGCCTCTGGAGACTCCTTGCCGTCTAGGGTGACGGACGAGTCGGACGAGTCCTTAACCTCCTTGCCCTTTTTGCCCTTCTTGGTGTCTGAATCAGAGTCAGAGTCTGAAGAGTCGGATGAGGACGACGAGCCATCAGAGTCGGGTAGTGGCACCTGAGCCGCAGTCTCAGCATCAGCCTCGTCGTCAGAGTCGGAATCAGAATCAGAGTCCGAGTCAGAATCCGAGCTGGAGCTGGAGCTAGAGCTGGAACTAGAGGAGTCAGAGTCGGATTCGGCGTTCTCGTCGTCGGAATCGCTGTCCGAGTCGCTTTCGCTTTCGCTGGAGCTCGAGTCGGATTCAGAGCTAGAAGACTGGTCCCGCTTCTGCTTCTTTGCTCGCGGCTCGTCGTCGTCGGAATCAGAGTCGGAAGAGCTCGAATCGGATTCGGAGTCGGAGGAAGACTCGGAGGAACTATCGTCGACGGGGGCCTTGCGCTTAAGGTTCTTAGTCGCCTTGGGCTTGGGGGCTTCGTCCTCGCTCTCGCTGCTGCTGCTTGAGCTCTCAGAGGACGAGTCTGCGTCCTTCATATCCACATCCTCTCCATCGTCGCTGGAATCGCTGTCCTCCGAGCTGCTCGACTTCTTTGCCGAGGCCTTCTTCTTGTTGGACTTGCTGGGCTTGGCGCTGGCTTCGCCCTTGGAAGCCTCCCATGTCTGAAAAACGCTGACGAGCGAAGCGCTGGTCTCGGCGCCAGTCGCCAGCCAGCCCTTCTTCTCTCTCTGCTTCTTGAAAGCATCGTGGGCACCCTTGAAGGCGTGGTCGGAGAGGAAAGACTCTACCAAGTCCATCAGCTGGCCAGGGGGAGGGACAGAGGCAGAGGCGGTATCATCGCTCTTGGCCGCGGCGGCCTTGTTGCTCTTCTTGCCCATGGTGTCTGCGGAGGGCTTGACGGGGTTCAAGGGGTTGTTGGAGAATAGCCAAGAGGGAGGGTTCTGTTTCGAGCCAGACATGTGCTGATGCCACGAAGCAAAGCCTGAAAAGTCGGAATGGCGGAGGAATTGGAAGGCTGAAGTTGGCCAAAAATTATTTCTTGAGGCTGGAAGAAGCAGCGGATCGACAATGGCTACTGGAAAATTTCTGTGGACTTGGTGGGGCACGTGCTGTTATCAGCGCTTATCAAGGAGCCCCATTATTTAACCAGGGATAATGCCAAGTACTCTTGAGATGGTCCCTGATGAGCGAAGTATAATTTGTTAGTACAGGGGAGAAGGTACTTGAAATAATGTGTAAAACAGGCGATAGAAGCTGTACCAACGTATTAGAGAAACCTCTTGATGGCGCTAGCTCAGGGCAGGATACCTTACTCGAGCTGCCGTCCCTCAGCGACCAAAGCACGTCCTAGCAGCTGCATCATCGCCTCTTTGGGTTTCTCAAACAAAACAATCACCAGCTTTGACTCTGTCCACTTTCATCCCCATCACGGTACATCCCCCGGCGATCCTCCACTCGAAATCCCTAGTTTACACCCGAATCGGAAAAATCGTTCGAAAACCTCGATTGCTGGTCTCTTCTTTTACCAGACTGTCGTTGCAGCGATCTTCTGATCCAGCTCTGATGGTGTTCTCTTTGTTGCGACTGTGCGACAACCACTTTGCATCGCAATCATGAACGCCACGAAGCGCAAGTTCAACACCCTCTTGCAAGGGATCGGTTCTTCACACTCGAAAACAGGCGACAATTCCGTGTCACATACCGAGGCTGGTTCCTCGCCTTCGCGCCATGCAACCTCGAGCTCTCCGGGCTCGACAGCACGTGTATCTGGTGTCGATGCCGAGTTACTCCAGAAACGTCGACGGCTTGGCCTGCCAGATTCGACGGCGCCTGTCCTAGCTAAGAAGGGCAGCTTAACAGCTACCATTTCTTCCATTGTTTCCCGACGACCGCAAGCTCGGGATCCCTTGAAGAGCCTCAAAGAATCACCAGCAAAGTACTCTCCGAGTGATCGAACCGAACTCTTGAGAAGACTGGCCACTTTTCAAGAAATAACAGATTGGACGCCCAAGCCGGACAAGGTGAACGAGGTGGAATGGGCTAAGAGAGGGTGGGTATGCAATGGCAAAGAGACAGTGCGCTGCCTGCTTTGTCACCGAGAGCTGGTTGTTAAGCTCAACCGCAAAGTAGTTGATGGGAAAGAGGTTGCCGTGTTGGTGTCATCCGAGATTGGTATGTTTCGTTCCACGGCGATGCCCTGCCCACCATCTGACGTTTCGATAGAGGAGGCTTTGGTCGATAAATACGCTGATCTGATTGTCACCTCACACCAAGAAGATTGTCTATGGCGCAAGCGAGGCTGTGACGGTAAGTTACTTCGCTTGGAGAGAGCCAACTCTAAAGTGCTGACATACTGTTCCCAGATTCTCTTCTTCGCCTATCGCTCGCCAACACGAGCAGTAGTCTCAAGTCTCTACGAGAACGATACGATGAGCTTTTGTCGAGAAAATCCTTTCTTCCCTATGAGTTCAATCTTAGGCTCCCAGATGAGTTGAAGCTTGACGAAACTCTGGCCCAACTACCCACTGATTTCTTCACTAACCCTGCGCCTGCCAACCCCGAAGTTGGATCTCGCCCAAATCGAGTTGCGCTGGCGCTTGCTTTGATGGGATGGCAAGGACTCGATAATCCTCGCATTGGTGCTGTCCCTAATTCCGCATCTTGCCATACTTGTCTCAGACGGCTAGGACTTTGGATGTTCAAGAGCAAGGAGGTTGCTGACGACGGCGAGGTTCTTGTCCCCGCTCCCATGGACTTCCTGGACCCCGTTAGGGAACATCGTTTCTTCTGCCCCTGGTCCAACCCGGAGACCCAACGTCAGAGCCATGCCCATACTCGACCAGAACAGGACTTGCCGGGATGGAAAGTGTTGATGCAGACACTGGCCAACGACGCCCATCTTCGTAGCGTCTATGAAGGCCGCTCACCGGCACGACACCGAGCTCAACGATCAATCGGAGCCCCCTCAACACCGCGGAGACCTGGGACCGCTGCCTCTATCACCACACCACAAACACTGCCTGCCATGCGCACCGCCACCCCAGGGTCTGTTGGCGTAACAGGCTCTGACCAGGCTGAAGAGGACGAAAAGGAGAGGGACGCAAAAGACAAGGAACGATGGGCAAGATTGAGGAGAGTGAAGAGTTTGTTCGACAGCAAGGGCAGCAGAAAGCTGCGGCACTCTATAAGCCGTTCTATCAGCCGACCAGGAACAGCGCACTCGACAAAGTCGGGAGGAGGTCAGAAAGAATGATGTACATTGTATGGATTGTTTGGAGTATGAGCCTGGTGATACCATAATTGCGGAAATAGGTAGTGTGAGTGGCGCGAGATGCTTTTGGGAACATGACCAACCTTTGACTCTGTATTGAGTGTTCGAGCAAGGTTTCTTCGACTGGGTTTTGTTGTGACGTCGGGGGGACTTTGCCGACCAAAGTCCAGACGCGAGTGGGAAGGCTGAATGGCCGGTTGACTGCCGTGATTAGGTTTTCCATACGATATCATCGAAGGAAACAATTTCCCCAGTGTAGGCCTTTGTCTCGTCCTGCTTCTCAACTCTCCCTTTAACACCACCGTATCCAGCGAGTTCGAGGATTGCGAGGCGCACCCCCCCAATTCCGGCTCCATTGCCCATCCGGCGCTGTGTCTTCATCCCGGCTGCCGTAGCATATATACTCGTTATGCGCTCCGATCCCTCTCTCCACTTTCCAGGGGCAAGTCTATCCTGCCTTTCCAGCTCCTTTTCGATTTCTTCGGAGAGAGCGAGGCATTCAGTCGGCCATTCTTCGCCACATTTGTCCGTCTTGGTGATCACGACCAGAGTCCTCGTCATTGTTCGAGCAAGTGTCTTGAGCATCCATGTGTCCAACCCATAATTATCCTTGTCGGCGGGGATCAAAATGACGGCGCCTCGTAGCGTCTTCCTGTGGATGAGATACTTGACGATTGTGTCGCCCCAACTCGCCTTACTCCTGTATCCATAACCTGGCGTATCCATGAGGACAAGGCTATGCTTGGGGGGAGCATCACCCTTGCGGATGAGCTCGGGAGCGATCTTTGGCCGGGGTCCAACTCCGTAGGCATTCATTGTAGTTGTCTTTCCCGCCCGATAGCTCACCTTGGCGAGACGAAAGTCCCCGACGAGCGCGTTTAGAAAGTGTGACTTGCCGGCGTTGGAGGCCCCGACAATGACAATCTCAGGGATGAGGTCGTTTTCCTTGTGATCGATATGGGATGGCGCCGAGTAAAGCAGCTCACTCGGCTCCTGAAAGAATTTCGCAGCTGCAGCTTGAGCTGGCCTTTCCTTTTCAATGGCTTGAGCTGACTGAGCATTGCCATTCTTGTAATAAATGGACGTTGTCCGAAATAGGGACCGGATATGACCACCTATGCCCCGTAAATCCTTGGGTGCCTCAGCCTCATTGGGTGGTCTGCCATCTTTCCAGAGTGCCTTCATTCCCTCTTGACTGGGCATCAATGGGTCACTGGGAATTAATGGATCGGAAACGGCATTTTCACGATCGGGTACTTCAGGTACGAGAGTCTTCTTCTTGCCTCTTTGCCTGAAATTTTCAGCTGCAGAAAAGGGGAGGTTTTCGCGGGGGACGCGGTCCTGGGCTGCCTGTTTCGTTTTTGATCCTTTCTTTTTTGATCCGCGAGAACCGAATCTGTGATGTGTACCGGACTTTTTTAGGTACCGTTGACCGGAAGTTGAGGAGAATGGGCGTGTAGTTACTTGTTGTGGTCGTAAGAGAGAAGAGATGGGTTTGCTAGGTCCGAAGGCGCGTAATAGCCGCGGCCGCATCATTTTCAAGACTTGCCCCCCCGTGGTGAAAAGTAGATGGTTTGGTGATTGTCAGATAACTGACCCAAATTAGTCGTCCATTGACAAAACAAAGAAAATGCGAAATATTGAGATATGGGAACGAGAAATTATACGTACGAAATTTGAGAGGACGAGGTTGAGCGAAGAGGATGAATTTGAGCTGGCTGAGTGAAGCATCACGACCAAAGGATTTCCAAGAGAAGAGATGCATCACGTGACAGAAGAAGCTGCACAACTCCATGAGATCCACCAGCGTTACTGTAAAGATGGGCTGAGAGCGGCTCAAAACATAAGTCTACTCCTAGAGGGCTATAACTTTTACTCTACTGCGTAGTACATGTTTTAAAAGTGGCAGCATCTTCTCATAGCCAAGCTGGCCTCGGCTCTTTTACCTGAATATCGTCAACAGACTCTGTCTCACTCTTGCCGATTCTTGGCACCCACGAATATGACTACTACCAACCTCACAGAGCTTGACGCTCATGAGCAGCCCTCAGATGAAATGCGGGCGGAGTGGAAGAGCTTCATGCGTCAAGATCAGAAAAGCCTCCTCGATGACCCTCGCATTGATGATCCACGTGCTCCGCTGGAAAAGTCTGGCTTCCGTACAGTCACGACACTTTCAAGAGCCCAGATTGCAAGCAGCTTCGCTCACCTGAATCCTGGCCTTGCCTCTGAAGCTGAAGGCGATGTCTCCGTTATTCATCATCCCCTGATACCGGGTTCGTTAAGAATCCATTTCTGCCTGGCATTGTTAACAGCATCAACTAACAAGTGGCCTAGGTCTTCTTATTCTCCCATCGCTCCTCCCACCAACGGTGCAGAGGGATCTGATGGACCGTCTAGTACATCGCGATCTAAGTAACCCGAAGCATCAGACTAACCTTCATCTTCATTATGACCTCCCATACCCGGAAGGTCAGCAAGATGACGAAAAGTCGTTCTTCGCCCTTGACCCAGATAGTCCCGCCTCATTCATCCCCAAAGACCCCAACGTCCATAAACCACTCTCCATCAAACAGGTCCTGCAACGAAAACTGCACTGGGTCACGCTGGGTGGCCAATACGATTGGACAAACCGCGTGTACCCCGAACAATCGCCTCCTCAGTTTCCCGACGACATCTCTCGCTTTCTGGAGGGCCTCTTTCCTGAGACGGTCGCCCAGGCGGCCATTCTCAACTTTTATACCCCGGGAGACACCATGATGATGCATCGGGACGTCAGCGAGGAGACCGACAAGGGCCTCATCAGTCTAAGTCTGGGCTGTGATGGCCTCTTCATGATCGCACCGAATGCCGACCAGCCCCAGCCGAAGAGTGAAGCAGTTGGTGACAAGGAGTACTTGCTGTTGAGGTTGAGATCGGGAGACGCCATCTACATGACCCAGGAATCCAGATCTGCCTGGCATGGAGTGCCAAAAGTGCTCAAGGGGACATGCCCTGACTACCTAGAGGACTGGCCGGCTCGCGAGGATGGCAAGTTTGATGAGTGGAAGGGATGGATGAAAAGCAAGAGAATCAACCTCAATGTTCGGCAAATGAAAGATTAAACCACCGAGTTTGAAATGCTTAGAGTTGTTGCGAGTTTGGACCCAAGTAAAGCAGGGACAAATCATGACACCCGGTACCTTGTTGTTTCTGTTGTGATATTGTGCATTTCTTCATTCAAGGGGAGCGCTTATTGGTAAGGGGCTGCCTCGCTTACGCTGTCATAAATTAATCCAGAGCGACTGGCTAGGTAGTTGCTCGTCTGCTTTGAGGATTGTATATCATCTCGCCATATCCCCATAACCCAAAACGCCTGATCAAGCAAAGCCGAACCCCTGTGCATTTTCCAACGCCATTCCGAGCCGTTCCCTCAATACGTCTTTATCTCTATATTCGGGAAGAAGGAGAGTTCCGTAGCATGTATAGGCCGTGGGCAAGTGCCCGCCATCCCCCTCTTCCTCTCCGTTTTTCTGAATCACGAACTGAAGATTTTTGATACCCCCAACTGGAACTCGATCTGAGGATGTCACGAACTCTAGCAGCTTGCGTTTCATCCTATCGTCGTACCTTCTCACGACGGACCAGAAGTCTTTGACAGTATGATGCGACGCGTCCCAACCGACGTAGCGTGCATACCGCTTGAGCTCCGAGATGTCAATGTCTTGGATGCCTTCCACCAGTGACTGCAGAGTGGAGGGGCTGAGTAAAGAAAGTGACTTCTTGTCTAGGCAAGCGTTGAAGCCACGTTCGAAGGCGATGTATTGCCGTCGAATGGAGATGTCCGTGAGATAGCGAATGTAATGAGTGACGTAATCATCTCGGTTCTCGTTCGTCACCAGAGGCGCGTCGTCTGGGTTCGAAGTCTGGGGTGGAGCGACATCATCTGAGTTTGCAGCTGCCCTGGGCCAGACCACGCTCTTGTCTGCAGACATTTCCCTGGTAATGTTGGTACCCAAGGCAGAGACTGAAAACTCGTAGGTGCGGGCAAAGATATCCTCAACCAGGCCGTCCTTTTCGTCCCATTCTAGGAGTGTTGTCAATCCGCTCGCCAGGTCTGGCCACCCATCAGCAATATGGTGAAGCTCCGCGACTGGCTTGCCCAGTAATTTCCGGTACAGGGCCCTCGGGAAGGTGATAGGCAGGGTCAGCCCGTTGAACAAGGCCAGTGACATCAAGAGGCCGACGAGCTCATACTTCCAATCTTCGGTGAGTGACCCAGGGGCAAACCAGGCCATGCGTGTCCGATCGTCGACTGTGAAGGCGCCATACGCAGGATCCAAGCACTCTGCGATAGCTAATCGAAAAAACTCTTGCTGAACGCCTCCCGAATCGAAGCCCTCTTCCCCGCCTTCCTCTCCTAGATGCACCTTCAGGGGGCGGAGGAGTTCCCTCTCTTCTCGTCTCCATAGTTGGTCGAACGCATCTCGAGCAACATTTTTGCGACTAATTTCGAGTATGAGGTATTTGGATGAGCCTGTTTTCAAGAGGTCTTGCAACACCCTCTTGTGGTGTGGGTTGGTGACGAGACTTCCAGGGTCAATGATGGCGCTCATCCGTGTTTTGAGAGAGCTCGACTCCTCAAATACGCGACTCATCCGAGCGAAATTGATAGAGCGGAAGAATGAGACTAGGGTATCGGGGCTGAATATGTAAGGATAGTCCAGAATGTGTCGTCTCCAGCGCGTCGAAGAAAAAGATAACCAGTCAACCGGCATTTCAACCGAGTCCAATCGGTCTGACAGATAATCAACACGGAATTGGATATCGCCCAGAAGGAGGAGGTTTCTGTTAGTGTCTATATTCGAGGTTAGTATGAGACTTGCTACTGCCTTGCAAACACTACGGCTATGGGTTGTAAACTTACGCATGGTCTCGATGAATGACAAGGCTCCCCCAAAGGGTCCATCCATGGCGAAGTCGGGTTTTCCATTCCACTCGCTCAAGATGATGGTACGGGCCCAATCGAGAAGCACTGTCGGAACGCGTGTTTCGTGCAAGAGGCGCTCAGAATGCGCGAACTCTAGTACCGAGGCCGAGCCCGTGCTGAGAAAGTCGAGCTGGCTTACAAGAGGCTGCAGGATGTCGGGGTCGGGAGTTTTGATGTTTGAGGAAGCTGTAGAGCCTGCCATGTCCGCAAAACAACGTCTGGCTGTAATTGCGCAAAATAATCGTCGGGCAAGTCTGACGGCTAGGTCGTTCGAGAACACATCATCATACCCCAAACAACGAGATGAGGGCTGCCGTGCTACCGCGGTACCGCCAGCAAGCGTCAGGCCGTTGGAGCGTATTCGCGACATCTCGTACAAGGTGCGTGAATCGGGCACAACCGGTGCCGCAGCGACTAAAGCATGCATGCAGATGGACATCAAGTACCCTGCATCAACATTTGACAGCCCTTTGGCACCCCTTTGGACCTTCTTGCCCCTGGCCCCAGCCAAGCGATCTACTTGAATGTCTTGTGAAGGGACAAACAAGCGTCCCGCTGCCAACCAAAGGCTGTGAAGAACAAGACTTGATGCAACGCGGTTCATGCGATAGAGACAATACCACAGAGTCTGGGAGTCGTAGAGTTTATTGTCGCAGGTGAAAGACTGTACCACAGCCTTTGGGTCCATGAGAACATTGAAAAGAGTTTGCTCATTGAAGCCCTTCCACTGCTTCTTGGAGATAGCCGTGGGAGACGATCGACGACTCAAGGGATGCGAGGCGTTTTCCGGCTTGGGATATGTGTTGCCCGTTTCCTGGGGCATGGTAAGGTAGCTCTCTAAGGTTCCATCTTCTTCATAAACGTCGCATATGAAGTTGATAAGATCAACATTGAGTCGGGATAGCGCCTGGGGCAAGGCTTCATTCAACCACACAGATGGAGGCTCTGGGTCTCCCTCAACGGAGTCTTTCGCTTGTGGAACCTGGGCATCATGTTTGGGATGATGACTTTGCGTACCAAGATTCTCAGCGCTGTGCTCTTCTCGTGCTGCACATGGCGAAGATGGAGGAGAACCTGTCGGTATTGAAGGATGTGAGGGTTTTGTCACGTTTTCGAAAAAGGCGGGTCTTGCTGGAACTTCTGGTATTGCCCGAGCGGATGTTGTGATAGTGGCCTTCGGTTGTGCTGGCTTGTCATGGAGGATACTGCTCATCCGAGGAGACAAGATGGTTGACTTGGTGTTGTCCCTTCTTTCAATGGGGTTTACTGGCTCATAAGGTGTCTTCTTCGCCTTTGGGGATGCTCCACCCCTTGACTTCGAGATCGAGCCGTGGCCGGATCTAGCACCCTTGGCACAGAATGAAGCATCGTTCAGTCCAATTTCAGGCTTTGGAGGGGCCATATCTTGTGCTTCGTTTTGCCTTGTGTTGGATTCAGATGACGTGGATGCCTGACGTTCGGGGTGTGGTGCCGTCCGTGCCTGGGGAGTATTGACGTTGATTACTGGTTTCGTCCGATGCGGCCCTGTGATGTCGTTGACTTGCTGCGACATGATCGTCATGCCTCGAGGTGTGAGCCATTCAAGCATCTTGAATGTTACGGTTCCAAAAAGGTTGGCGGCAAACGAACGATGATCTTTGCTAACAGGAGCTTCAACGACGCGGATATGAGGTGTATCATTGCTTTGCGTTGAGTTTGAAGCTTGTTTCGTATGGAGTTTGGTGTCGGTTTGAGTCGGATACGCCGGGTTGTTGGTGGAGGTGAGCACTGTTCCTTGGAGTGAGGATGAACGCGAACGTCGACGAGTAGAAGCATTATCCTTGCGCAGGATTGGGGATGCTTTGAGAGAAGATCTTTTGGAGTCGGGATGCGGAGGTGAAGGCGGTCGTGGAGAGAAGATCAAGTTACCAAGGGCTGCGGATGGCTCCTTGGATTTGCGGAGGAAGGGGCATAATCCGTTTTCGGGGTTGTCTTGACTAGCCAGGTATACAGCCAATGTTCTGGCGCTTGTCGCGTTGTACCTGCGGATGGGCGCTTTGCCGGCCAAACGGCGTCGACATGTAAAACAGGTAGGTGTTGCGCAGTTGACGTTGTCGCAACCGTATCGCAGTTGAACCACGTATCTATTCGCAACAAGTTAGCGCTCCCTTGGTTTTAGCTGCAATGTCTTCTACAAACCTCTCAACTACAAGCTGAAAGTCGTGACGGCGACTTGCGCGATGAATGGCATAAACCCGCGCCGGGTTCTCGATGTTTTGGACGTATGCTTCAAGTTCGGGCGGAGCGTCAGCAGGTAAGCGGGCGAAGGGCGCCTCTTGCCACAAGCCAGCGACCAGGTCGACGTCGGTCGCTGGCTCAATGGAAGAGACCCGTGGTCGAGAAATCTCGGGCGTCATGACATCTGAAGTCGAGGTCGCGCCACAACGGGCGATTGGAAGCAAAGACGTTGCTTGTGACAGGGTTGCGTGCGGTAAGGGGGTCGTGGTTCAGCTTCTCATTCCATCGGTCGAGATGTCGATATCGATGCCGGTCGTCCCTTTGAGTGTCGGGAAGAAATGCGTATCAAGTCGATTTTTATATAGATTTATTGTCGTTATAATTGCTATAGTGTGTGTATGGTTGGGAGCAATGATTGAAGTTGTAATGATGGAGAGGAGCTGCTCGTCAGCCTCGCGCAGCACAGGCGCTTTGGCGATTCTGCGCCACTTCCCGTGCATGCCTGCCCGATGACGGGGGACCCGCCAGCCGTCAGCGAAGTTCAAGCACCAAACCAACCTAAACTGGCACGCAGCAGCTTACCAATTCAGATCAAAAGCTTCGGGCCGACCCAAATCCCCGAAGTGCTGGGGTGAGTCAGCAGGGGGGGGG